AAGACCTTGGCAGCACCAGGGCCCAGGAGCCCTGTCAGCAGAGGTGCCAGGTGCCGACTTGCTGGCCGGAGGGCGCAGCTGCGGGGCGGGGTCTGGGCTGGGGACGCCACGGGGAATGGCACCTTATTCTTCCCTGGAAATAGTGAAGTTTTAAGTCAGCCAGGCGCCTCACGCGGGCACGGGCCGGCCAGGGGGCTGCAGGGCCTGGATCCCTGGGCTGCGGGACGTGAGGTTCCTGTTGAAAACAACACCGGGGTTTTCACTGGGAACGGGCAGCGCGGGGATTAGATGTCGGGGGCCTCGGAAGGGGGCCAGGGCTTGCGAGAGCAGCTTGGGTGTGACATCCTCGGTACCACCCTGGCCAGTGATAAGCCACCGGCTTCCTCTCACCCAGGGGCCGGAGAGCATATTTGCGGGCACAACCGTAGGCTGGAGGCTAAGGCCTGCGGCTTGGGAATGTGATAATTCTGCACCTTTTGGCCTGACTGAGGCCCAGATGTTTGCAGCAAGTCAGTCCTTTCCCTGCTAATCACTTGCAAAGAAAGGCAACGGCCGGCCATTCGTTTGAAGACGAGGCCCTGGGAGAGCGGGAGGCCGCGGGCCCAGGTGGGTCGGAGGCCGAAGCCCGGGGAGTTCACAGGGTGTGAGATGTCAGCTCCAAGGCAGATTTCAGTTCCTCTTTGTGAACCGCGAATGCCGGAACTGGAGGCCAGACAGGAGCGGGGCCAGGATTTCCAGAGAGCCCCGCGGTCCCGCCTGCGTGGACAGAATCCCGTGGCTCAGCCCTCAGTCAGCTGCGGCCAGGCACTTGCTGGCTGCGATGCTGGGACCGGCGGTGATGGTGCGGGGCAGGGGGGCAGCTTGTGAAGACTGTCCGCGAGCCTGGGGAGCCCGGGGACAGCGCGCAGCGGTCAGGGCCCGAGGCCCCCTCCGCTGCCCGAGGTCGGGCCCCTGGCCACTAACGCCCAGGCCTGGGCTTGTCCTGGAGACCCGGCCGAGCGCCGAGGGGCTCCTGTTCTGCCCGGGATGTGTGTGAACAGGGCGCACAGGACGCCTGGCCACCGGCGCGGGCTCCCCACGGAGGTGCCCTGCTGGGAGGGAAGGACGGTGGTCGCTGGCTTGCAGGTACCCACCTTCTCCACTGCCCGATGTGGGCTGTGGGGCGCCGGCCGGCCGCCGGGGAGGGCTTCCGGCCACTGCTCATTCTGCTGCGGCAGGAGCAGCCCTGGGACACAGCCCCCGGCCGGCGGGTCCTCACGAGGGCGTCTGACTGTGTCTGAGGCGGCCGGCTCCTCCCCGGAGGACCCTGCGGGAGATGGTCAGCGCAGAGCCGAGCCTGGATGGGCAGCTCGTCAAGGGCGGTTGTTCTGGCCGCCCTGGTGGCCAGCGGGCGAGCGCAGTGCCACCACCAGGGAGTGACCCCAGGGCGCGGCAGGCCCTCCTGACCTGCCCACTGCTCCCCTCAGCTGTGTACTTCAGTCCATCTGTCTGTTCTGCTCACCCCCTGCCCTGGCCTGTACCCCAGCTCTGCATAATAAGTCTTTTTTTTTTTTTTTAAGACGTATTTATTTGTGCACACAGAACTGGGGTCCAGGCCAGAGGTGCAGGGGCGGTGAGAGGCTTCACCAGAGACAGAGTGGGGAGCAGAACAGGTGAAGGGGAGCAGCGGGGGGGCCAGGAGGGGTCTGCTGCGCCCTGTGATCACCTCCGGGGCGGGATCGAACTCGTGCTGAAGCGGCTTTAGCGTCTCAGTGCTGCGCTGTGACCCGCTGTGCCACCACGCCCCCCGCCACCACGCCCCCCGCCACCACGCCCCGCGAATGCTGGCGGGATAATGCTGCCAACCTGGGCTGTGGCCGCGGCCAGAGCTGGGCGTCGCACTCCCTTACTCTGCACGCCGAGCGCCCACCCTGCACACCAGTCCACCAGGTGGACCAGGCTACTGTCACTCCCCCTTCAGACACGGACCGAGGCGCTGTGAAGTGCAGAACCCGCAGGACGCTGGCCGCACGCCTGGACGGACCCGCCTGGGGTGTGTGTTCGCGGCGCGTGTGGGACTCTCCCCAGGGTGCCAGAATCTGACCTTGCCCGGGACGACTCTGCTCGGCTCCGGCTCTGCTCGGCCGCTGCTTCTGGCTCTGTGTCTGTGGATGGACTTGGGCACCACTCGGCTGCTGTGAAGCCAAGACGCGCACGGTTCGTGCCCCGGATGCAGCCAGCTGAGGGGTCCTTGTCCTGTGACTCTGGGCCTGCACCACAGGTGCAGACGTTACTTTCCCTAGGACCGCAGCGAGCAACCAACAGAGGCTTGCTTTGATTGCACCGGCAACCCTCTGTCAGGGTGCATGAGGCCTCCCGAGCATGAGGGTGGTAAGTGGAGGGAGGTGCTCGGGGGTCAGTGAAAGTGCCCAGACAAGCAGGGATGCGGGGTACTGCCCCCCCTTGCAGGTGAAGATGCCTAGACCCAGACTGACCCCCGGGAAGCAACTGCTAATGGCCTCCAGTCACAGACTGGGCTGGGAAAGTCAACAGGCACTAAAATATGATTAAACTCCAGACCACAGTAGCCAGAGGCCCAGGTCTGCGTGGCAACCAGACAGCCCTCCGTGCCCTTCCTGCCGGCCCCTCCCAGGGCGCAGGAGCTGTCTGGCTCAGAGCTCCCAGGAGGTCTGAGGGGTGTGACCTCCCTCCCCACCCCCCTCCAGCCCCAGGCTGCCTATAAAGCCTGCCAGCCAGCTCGCACACACCAGCTGGGACCCCAGCCTGCCC